GGCGATGGGGAGCTGCTGCTTATGCAGAGAAGTGCCCGAATCTGTCTTTTCCACACATGCAGAGAAGTGGTGATGGCAGGAGGGAGGCAGAGGACGGCAGGAGGGAGGAAGAAAATGGTAGAAGAAGAGGACTAAATGGCGGGAGGGAGGCAAAGGATGGTGCACGAGACGTGTGAGATGGCGAGAGGGGAAGTGAGAGGTAGTGGGAAGTAGGTGGGAGACAGGGGGATGGAGGTGGTAACTGGCGGGAGGGGAAGTGCGAGGTGGTGGGAGGTGGTGGGAGGTGGTGGGAGGTGGTGGGAGGTGGTGGGAGGTGGCGAGAGGTAGGTGGGAGAAGGCAGGATGGAGGTTTGATATGGCGGAAGGGAGGTAGGAGGAAGACGACGGAAAAGAGGTGGAAGATGGCGGAACAGCAGAAACGAAGTGGTGGGAGGGAGGTGGAGGATGGCGGAAGAGCAGGAACGAAGTGGCGGGAGAGAGGTGGAGGATGGTCGGAGCGACGAGGGAAATGGCAGGAGTGGAAGTAGGAGGTGGGAGGGACGAAGGAGATGGCAGGAGGGGAAGTAGGTGGGAGCGGGAGGGAGAGTAGGAGGGAGTGGGAGGGACGAAGGAGATGGCGGGAGGGGAAGAAGAAGGTAGACAACGAGGGAGGAGAAAAAGAAAAAGACGAAGCAGAGAAAAAGTTAGCATTTTTTTCTGAACACCGTGCTGGGGCCACACGGGCCCCGTATGGGGGACCCGCACAGTCGTGCGGCCATGCAAGGATCCGTGCGTGCCGTGGGCACCGGCACGCATGGAAATGAAGCCTAGACTGTCAGAGGTTTTCACTGGTTTTGCTTTTCAATCTGCCAAGGAGTGTGGCGAGTCCCCAACTCTCTACTGCTGCTTTGTGAAGGGTCGACGTAGTGAGCCCTCCACAAAACAACTTCTTCGTGACTTCGCAGCTTCAGGGACAGAGACTAGGCGGGCAAAACTCCTTAACTTTTGCATGAAAGTAAAATAGTGGCGAGTAAGTGCAACCATGCCTCCAAACTCACCGCGATTTTACTTCACTCGTCACGTGGCAGATGGTGAGTAGTGCAACTAGGCCCTAAGTGAAGTACCAGCCAGATTCAGTCAAAAATGGCCTACAGTGCATATGCATTTAGTGGCATAAAACTGACTGGGGAATGGCTAACTGCTTTCATCCAAGGTGTCTCTTTCTGCAATAAGCCCTTCTTTTGCAGGGGTAACAAAACCCAATATTTGTCCTTTCTTTTTCTTTTCTCTCTTTTTCCCTTTTTTTAAATTAGACTGAGCGCACTCGATCATTGGAATGTTCTCTGCAGTTGTTTCCGTCACTATCAGGTCAAAACCATTGCGCCGTTTCATTTCTCTCCCCTTCCACACCAAAGCACGGAAGAAAGAAAAAGAAACAATAGGCAAAAGCAGAAGCTTGAACCACCAGTACATCCAAGACCCTTTTCTCTGGGGCTTGAAACGCCCTGCATGCCAAAAAAAAACGAACTGGACGGGCCTCCTTCTGGCTGGCGCTGCCAGCCATTTTGCCCCGGAGGCCGAGCCCCGAAAGTTGCGGCTGCATACAACCCAATATTTTCTATTCTTTGGCTGGGAAACGTACTGGTGGTTTAAACCGCCAGTTCACCCAAAGCTAACTCGGGCTCTCACCAGCGTACAAACTGGACGGGCCTCCTTCCGGCTGGCGCTGCCAGCCATTTTGCCCCGGAGGCCGAGCCCCGAAAGTTGCGGCTGCATGCAACCCAATATTTTTTATCCTTTGGCTGGGAAACGTACTGCCAGTTCACCCAAAGCTAACTCGGGCTCTTACCAGCGTACGCGCTAAGAGCATACCGCTTTACGCTTGGGCCCGTACTGTCCAGTGCAAGCCACTTTCAAAAGGGAAAGTTGGAGGCTTGCAAGCCTCAGAAGGTAGCTGCGTACAAGTAGGCTCGGATGAGCTGGTGGTTCGACGATAAGTTTGGTGCACCTACCAACTTCCCAAAATAGAACATACTCTCATTATCACTGTATCAGTGTATCTAGACATAAAGTTGCCCCAAATACAGTTATAATGGCCATACGTTCTTATTCCGGATGGAAGGATGTAGGGGTGCAGAGGAGAGGTACTGCACAGGGATAGCACACACAAATGAACCAACCGCTCACCCCTATTATTCAGTCTGAGAAAATGTGCTGTTAAACCACCAGTACTTTTGACGCTTCCCTCGTCGAGTCATGAAACGCACTGCGTGCAAAAAAAAAAAGAGACGCGCAGGCCTTCTTTTAGCTGGTGCTGCGAGCCGTTCTTCTTTAGTAGGCAGACCCCACAAACTTCCGATGCGCATGCACCGCGTCGGAATAGAAAGGCCGGGAAACGTACTGGTCGTTTAAACCACCAGTACCTTTCCCATATACTGGTCGTGGGCCTCTCACCGTGACTTTTGGAGGTCAGAAACGCAACAAAGGCCGCCGATTCACTGGCGGCCCGGTCCCAAAAGTTATGGCGGTTAACAAGCCGCATATTTGTTTTTCAAGCTGGGAAAGGTACTGGTGGTTTAAGCCACCAGAAACTCTGGGACTCTTTTTCCCAATGTAAGATTTTGCCCGCCCCTCGCTCAGCCCGGGTGCCTGCAACCGCTCTCTGGTCAGGTGACCTAGCCGAGTTGGTGATGTGTGATGGTCCTGGGTGGTCCACACTAAGCTAGGACAGAGGGGGTGGGGGTGCGCCGGGGTCATTGATCATCATCAGGAGGGGGGTTACAACAAAAAAAAAAGAAGGATACCAAACTGCACAATTTTGCCAGCCCCTAAAATACCACACCGTTGCAGGCAATGGCCTGCTGGGCACTGCCAGCCTTTAGGTCTGGTGGGCCAAGCATTTCCATGGCACCGCGTTAACCATGCATTCTTGCGGTGGCTGACCTGGACACTGGTGGTTGGCGTATTGGTGGTTCGGACCACCAGTCCCTTTCCCGGCCGTTTTGTTTTGACGCGATATTAAGGGCCAGGCCCCACTTGTTACTTAAAACGACGAAACTCGGTTGTAAACAGGCCCAGGTTCATGCTTTCTTACCATGAGCATTGCACAGCAAACGCAGTCTGACCCTAGCTCGGCCAACCAAGTTGGATAAGATTCCTTTTTTTTCAAACGAGTAAAGTCACCAAGAAAATCACGGAAGTACCAAGATATTGATATCGGGACCATCATTACGCAGCTTCCGTTGACCAACCAGTACGACCTCGCAAGTTTGAAATGTCCACCAAGCGGGTCATGCTTTCCATGTGCCGGCCAGGCAGTGACCCATTCGAGTTTGTTCGTTCGAGTGCAAAACTTCAGATTCTAGGCCATACTCTCAGGCCAATTGTGCCCTGCTGACCAGAAAACACAATCAATGTTGCAGAACCTACCTTGAACAGCCCCACTAAGGGAAAGCCACCCTATGTTCAGCGGGCCATTGGAACCTGCTGCAGTTCCATTAAGAAATGGGGCACCCACCTTTCCACTGACCTCCTACCACAAAGAAAAAGACAGCAGCCCTAGGTTAAACCACCAGTACCTTTCCCAGCCATTTGTTCCGATGCGGCCATTAATCTTTTGGGCCTTGGGCTACGGCGAAATGACGGGCAGTGCCAGGTCAAAAAAGAAAAAAATGCCCA